GGGGGGGGGGGAAGGAATTACGGCTCAACATCACAGATTTCCCGGCCATTGCACTTTTCATTTTCTTTCGGATTAATGTGAATTGTTTTCCGTAATTTTAGCTACATTTATTAAATTTAATCACTGTCACTCAAATATTTTAGTTTCGTTTCTTCCTATACAACTAGGATTAAATAATTTGCCGACTACCTGACAATTGAGAGGTTTTCCACACCCCCCCCCCCTAGCGCCGCCCACGCCTGTGGTGGCTTTTATAAGATGGAATGTCAAGAATGTGAGAGGATATGAGAAAGCAGGCAGATGCAGCTTTTTCAAGGTTGACGTTTTACTAATGATCAAAAGGGCCCAGGTCATCTGAAAATCTTGCTTCACTATTGGGGCAAACCATAGTTAATAGAGGAGATGGTTTGGAAACTCGTTAGCACTACAATAAAATCACAATAAACCTCACTATCTATGTTGTTCAGGTTTATGCAAAAATATAGTCTTTCATCGTCACGTGCGTATTGTATTTTTCTCAAGTCAACCAATACGAATGTTCAAATGTCCTATTGTTAAAGTCATGGATGGGCAATTGGACAAAACCGTTGCTATTGGCTGGTTGAGCAAAAATACAATACGCACGTGACGATGAAAGACCACATTTTTGCATAAACCTGAACAAAAACATAGATAGTGAGGTTTATTGCAATGCTAATCAGTTTCCAAACCATCTCCTCTATTAACTATGGGCAAACAAATGGCCTATTAGTAAATGCCCCAGTAGTCCCGAGCCGACGGCGCGAACGCCGCGAAGCGCCGTGCGAGGGTACTAATTCCCCCCGGCTATTTACACCCGGGGAAACGAAAGCATTAGCGAAGTCTAAAGCAGCGAACTCTAATAATAACTGGAAGGCTAACTCCTATGATGAAAGTCTATGATTCGTTGAAGCCGGCGCGCGGGAAAATCAGCTTTCAAAACGACTAAGGAGAGTTTCGAGGAGTGAAAAAAAATCTGGCAAAAGTTTGTTTTCGAGCAAAAATTTGCAAGAAAAACACTTTTTCCATGGGAATACAACAATGATTGGGATTTAAACCAAGTTTCCGATTAGTTCCGACTGTTTTACATCTCTCTGTAGCAAAAAGTAAGGAATTTTGCTTTTGTATTTTGAAAAAATGACGAAAGTTTGGACGTGCCGAAGGAAACTCGCCGTTCAACTCAAAAATATATACTATAAAACATCTTGACAGTCCCAAAACTTATGTTGTACTAAACCCCAGGTATTGTTATTGATCCTGAGCTTTTAGTCCTTGTTTTAGTCGCTCTTAAACATAAATAAATTGGCGTTTTTCAAGTGATGTTATTTTCGTCATCGGCATCTAGTTGGCCACTATGAGCACTTTGAATATGGCAATATTTTTGTCAAATTTCAAATGCTTTTTTTTCGACCTTAAAACGTTAAATCTTCTTGAAACTTCGCATACAGATGTATTTTGCATGGGTATAAAAAATTCCTGAGGTATGACGTCTTAGTTTTATCTTAAACTTCCAAAAACTCAGAAAAAGCAGCCTAAAACGCGCGGTTTTTCAGACCGTTCGTGCTTATGGTCGTGTTTTTCGCATTTTTTTGCTAATTCGTGATTTGTTTGCTTTGCGAATATTAAATTCATTTAGCATACTACTAATATAAATTAAATTTGGTAGTATAACTAATATTTTGGGGCAAGATTTTTCTGATCAAAAAATGTGCATATTTTGAAAAAAAAATTTAAAAAGGACTGGGTCTACCTACAAAAAAAGCTTCAAGCACGGCTTCAACTTCCCCCCCCCCCTGACTTAGCCTTCCAGTTATTATTAGAGTTCACTGGTCTAAAGTTCATCAAATATCGCGGGCGTGACCAACGAACTTGTGGGTGGTCATCCTCACTGATCTCAAAAATATGGCTGATTGCTTGTGGGAGTGGGATAAGCAAGATTTCAATGTTAAAAGACATATATTTGGAAAATCGTTTCATATACAACAAGCTTGAAGCAATTTTGTTTGAAGAAATGAGAAGAATTGATTTGCTATGGTAAATCGTGAAATATACGGCAAGTTTGCAGTTTGCTTTGAATTTTGTTGCTTTAACTTTTTGCCTAAAAACATGAACTGTTTTCCTCTTCAACGAAGCTCTAAGTTTCATAAATTATCGTTTAATTTGAACAAATTGATTTGAAGACTGAACTAAAATTACCTAACAATTTGTTTTGTGCGTAAAACAGTTTATCGGCAAATGTAGTTTGGTTGAATGAACATTTCAAAAATTTCACGAAGCGTTTCAAGTTAAATTTTACATTAAATCAAAGCTCACAAAATGCAAAATAATATACCTACAGTGTATATTTCGGAAATTTATTGTTGTATAGTTAAAAGTACGAATCTTTCAACTATTTTACAGTTTCGTACAAAAATATGAAAAAATTAAAAATTTAAGATATCGTGTTGTCATGGCAACACTTGAACGCGAGCCTGCGTTCAGTGTCGGCCATTTCTGGATACTTCATGTGAATTTAATGTTTGGAAAATATTGGCGAGGGGTTACTGCATGCATGTATTTCTAGTTATATAGTTAAATGCCCTGCGTGTGGCATAGTTGACAGTCAACCATGAATTTCATGACCAACCTCAATCGGAGCATCACTGTTTCCAACCAGCTTGTACCATACATAAACACCCTTTTCTTCTATTTTATAGTCCATACATTTCGTTCACAGTTTCTTTGAGACTGATGTCCTCACCCAAAACCAAGTAAATACGTTTGATTCTATAGCTCCTCCATTTCGTGCTTGACATTTCGGAAAACAATAATTCTGTTTACCGCTGAACGGTCCGTGACAGCCGCAACACTACAGTATGTGTAACAAGGAAAGGACAGGAAACATTTAATAACATTTATTTAATACTAGGCTAAGAAACATGAAAAAGCAACATTCGTTAAAGAACACAGCGTAAAAAACATCACACTATAGTCTATCTTATGATGGTCTGAAAGCTAAACAGAAGTAATTGTATTATGTTTTTGTCTGAACATGAGTTTTTATGAATTTTTTTGTTTCTGGTATTTTGCACTCATGCAGGTGAAGATATATGTTTGTGATGTTGTCTCCATGCACACTGGGAAAGCTGAAAAGTTATCGAAGGAACTAGACTGCGTTCCGAAATATCACCCAATCGAACCGACTTGACCTCGTAGCTCAATAGGTAGAGCATTGTACTGGCAATCTTTTCAGCTTGCTCGCACTCACAGACAACATCACAAACACATTTGAGACAAGCGATTTGTGCACAGCGAGGTACTGACGGCAGTTCAACACCATTTAAATCTGCCAAGCTTCCAGACAATCATACCTTGACAGATTATGATTAAACCGTTGCAGAATTAATAATCAGCCGATCGGCAGATATTTTGCTGAATATTTAATTTACTGTAACAGTTTCGGATCTTTTCCAGCAGAATACTTGAAGTAACTTTCATCACTTCGGAATACTAGATAGGCCTCCCCGAAATATGTGATGGGAAACCATGGGAAATGTCAATTGAAATTCAAAATGGGCGTTCCAAGCAAACTGCAGCAAGTAGAGTGCCAGTGACCATTTTTGGTTATCGTTCCGTGTTTTGCGCACCAATGTAGGTTAGGGTTATGCAGGTGTGTATATATGTATATGGAGGTATCCAGTTGACTTTGCAGTACACTATAATATCCATTACATAACGTTTACTATTATTATTTGGTGCGCGAAACATGGAACGATTACCCAATATTTTAACCTTAAGTATAGAGTCAAAGAGATATATATTCATAGAATAATTAAGTCTGTTTATATAAAACGCAAATCGCATAAATAATGATCAAATTCAAATTTTAGTATCCAGCTTATAAAAGCAGATGTTGAAGTATAAACGTTAAAGTATACAGACCGCTATATGTTCTATTGCATTAACAGGGAAGCATACAGGTTTCATTTCATCGTAACTATCGTGACTATGTCATGCATGTTCGATGATGTAAAATAGTTTTGATCTTCACTTCGGTGTTGCAGTTGAGCACTCTGCGGAGTTGTTAATGGGTGTCCATTAGTGCCGATAATGCAAAGCTCACTTCCCTTGTGGTCGTTTGAGCACTCTGGCCCCATTACGCTCTGCGCATGTCTGGATGCGGTGAGTCACCGTGTTGTACCACATGCCTTGGTGAGAGCAAGTTCATGGGATATAAATACGAGTGTCTTACTTATCTAGACGTGTACCAAGCTGCACTGACGAGGCATCATAGATATCTTATATACACTAGATAGGGCGTCTAATTATTCTACAATTCAAAAATTGAAGCCGTGATTGCAGTCTCAGGTCGTTCCCATGAAATGAGAAGATTCGTATGTTTTCTATTTCTTAAACAGGGAACTTAAACATGAAGTTAACCTTATTCCAAATACATTTTAAACTATTCAAATGATGAAAGTTATTGTTGTTTTTTAAGCGTTTATTAGCAAGTGGGAACGACCAACATGGCCGCCATCTAGGCAAATGGCGGTAACCGCTGGAATATTCTTGGCTTCAATTTTACCAAAAGAGATGCGCTATCTAGTGTATATAAGATATCTATGCGAGGCGTAGAACGCCGAAACATGCAATGTATATGTATATATATATATATATATATATATATATATATATATATATATATATATATATATATATATATATATATATATATATATATATATATATATATATATACATATATATATATGTCAGTTCCCTTTGGGTCCTGTATGCAAATATAACCTTTAAATGTTAACAACAGCACAACTAAATAGTTAACCAATCGCCAATTTATTAATAAAGTTTGCTAAATATTTTAATAAAATACTCACATTCCCTTTGCTGCATCCAACGAAAGCCGTTGCGCCATGCTGAATTCCTGAAATGTTGTTGGATACGCTATAACTAGAAATAGAACATATTCAAAGCTAAAATTTAAAGTTTCCATCCAGAACATCGTCAAGACAAATTGTGCAATTAATTCAATGCCTTAACCGAATTCACGTTTTTTTCTGTTAACACTTGGTGGTCAAAAAGTAAGTTATCTATACTATATTATCCTCTTTGCGACCATGCAAGCTATAGTCAAAGGATCCAACACACTGTATAGTGACATGCGCGTACCCTTCCGCATACTGAAAGTATTTTTACACTTTCTATAAGAACACCTTGCATGCGCGCTGAAGAGATGACGCGCTATTCCATTAGGCAATCGTATATTACGTAAAGAAAATATTCATTCTTGAAACAGACCAAGAATTTAAATACGTTCATGTATTTGTTCTTTTGTATAGTCATGCGAACATAAAGTGACTAAATCATCGATATGAATTTTTACATTTTATTTTACATACATGCAGGTATATAGGGAATGCATTATGCTTCAACTAGAAAGATAGCTGCGCATGCGCATCCGCCGCATCTCCTGGGGATACACATGCATGATCATTTTGAACTTGAGAAAAAAAATATTAGCGTGGAGGGTTGGATACAACTGATCGATAGCTGCATGGCATGATGCTACACACCTCGTTAGTTATCAGCTCATATATATGGCTCGTGCATGCTCATACTCTATGCTCGATACCTGAACGATCCTGAATAGTCAAGCTGAATTGGATATTTACGATGAAAAGCAAATCCCCATGGACACGGTTTTTCAAGACATGAATTCATCATTGTCTATAAAAAAGTAGTAAGCGAAGGTATTTGGAAGAGTTTAGGATGGAATAATTTCAATATTTTTTGATGCCTCAAATACAAATTTAAAGTTATATTGAGTATTCATTATCCTCCGTTACGCGTGGTTGGAAACAGTTTTATAAAATAACATGTATATAACGCGTGCTCTGATTGGTCGAAACCCTTGTTTGGACCAGGCCATCCAAACACGGAAATTTAAAGTGAAGGATTTTTAAATTGAAATTTTAACACGGAAAGTTGTTATTAGTTTATAATTACTTTATGGTTTCCGTGTTTGGATGGCTTGATGGCCAAATCAGCGAAGAATAACAAATAGATAAACGGAAAGTAAGTTTTAGGCTTTATCCTTTGTCCTTGTTTAACAAAATCGATTTAAATTGTTACCGTTTTCCTACCACTAAATAATGATAAATTATTGTAATATTTTTTTAATTTTTTGTGCGTTATTTCTCCTTTTATTTCAAATACAAGTATAATTAGCATAAATTTTAGAGCAACTTTGGCTGCTCAGAATGCAGGAAATAGCATTTCCAGGCTTCAAATTTCAAAACTTTTCTGCGGGAGTATGCTACCAGACCCCCCTAGACATTCATGCGTGGTACGTCGTCCACATGGCTATCCCCCACTAATATATGATCTCACAGAAAGGTCCCTTTTCATAAAATTCCTCCTCCCCGAAGGGAAAATTCTTAAAAAAGGCCCTGTCAAAACCTCGAATGAAGTTGTATATGTGTACTGTGTAACATAATGTAAAACGATCGGGCAAACCAATGGGGGGCCCTCCCCCCAACAAGATTAGGCCCGTACGCCCATGGCCTAATTGACTGTAAATTACTTACTCCTCAGTGTATGCACAATTCCTACGTTTTACCTTGAATGTCACCATTTTCATTATTGTAGCCTGTGCACAAACTGTAGTATGCTGTAATACTGTCTGTGAAAGTTATGGCATTGCTTGTCTACCCCCAGCATCTCTAACAAGATCTCTGCAGTTGATTCTGGTTGATCACGACTGAACTTAATGGTTCTGATTGGCTTGTAGCCCGCGTGCAGGCCCTAGCGAAAAATAGTGGGCCTGCAAGCAAGGCCCGGTATTTTGTACTTTCCGCGTTCGCCCACGAACGCAGCATTCTGATTGGCTGTTTGCTGTTGGATTCTATAATTACATCAGTGATTCATCACAACGGCTCTCGATAAGCTTAAAATTTGAAAATTGATCACTTTTTCGATTAAAAATGGAACAAGAACAGACTGTGTATTGTTTACTTGAAGGAAAAGATGTTTTTGCCGTTATGCCAATGGGGATTGCTTGTCGTGAAGTGTTGGAATAGCAACATTACGACTAGGGTAAACTACAAAACCTTTACTTGAGTTTTCATTAATTTCATACAGACTTGATACGTTATATGTTCCTCAAGATAATTACCTTTTGGTTGATGTTCACTCTGTTCTTGCACTGAAGAAAACAGCGCTTTTCGCGGTGAAGATTTAGAGGCAGTTGAATATAAGCCTATTCGAAACACTTTATTTTTAAATTAATTGCGATTTGCAAGGCTTCGCTGAGAGAGCGAAACAGAATACGGTAATTGCCGTTTGAAACGAAACGATCTGGACACCCTGAACGCTCTCTTCTTTTGTAGAGTTCTTTACCAAATGAAATAACTGAAATAAATTTAGTACTTTCTGCTGCCAACAAGAATTGCAGACACGATCTGATAAGTGAGAAAATCTATTTATAACTAAAAGTTACTATCGCAAGGGGGAAATGCTGCCGTATGGCCAGAAGTTGTTACTCCCCCTGATTGCAAATATTAAACCAGAATGAAGAAGATTCAAGATCATAACGTGGTTTATTTTAGCATTTGATTTATTCACATTGCTAAAGCCACACCACAATGACCACGTTTCCATATTCAGTGTCAAAATATTCAGATTGCAACATTAACAATAAATATCACTATTCATAACAACTTTGACATTTCTGAGTGACGTCAGATTGTATATACGCCAGAAAGCTGCGGATGGAGAGGGATTCAACTACCTGAAAAATGCAAGTAAATCTGCAGTTTTCTGGTGTTATTGCAAATCCTTCTCAATCCACAGCTTTCTGGTGTTATTGTCACTGCCTACTCTGGAACACACAGCAATTTTAGGATTCGGAGAGCTGGTGCTGAGATGAAGTAAGTTTGCACCTTGGGGATTTGGGGGTGTGCCCCCAAGAAAATGTTGAAACTTACAAGCCCAGAAAGAAGTTTGTCAATTAACCGAGTCAAATCTGAGTCAAATCCAAACCCGAGTCAAATGTCTGAGTCACTGTTTAGTAGTCGTTTTAGTTCAATGACTTAGTGCCCTAACTCTAACACTAACCCCACTCCTAACGCACCCTAATCCTATTCAACTGTGAATTTTATTTCATTTCAGAGTTTGTTGGTTAACCAAGTCAAATGTCAGAGTCATATTTTAACTGTCTTTGTTGGTTTATTATGACTTAGGGCCTGTTTATATGGAAGCCGGGGTGGCCCGCTTAGCGAGACAGCCCGGTAAGCGGAATGAATTTCTTTTGTGTTTATATGAAAAACTGTTGTTTTGACAGTTGTTAAAAATAGCTTGCGGCGGTACCTTTGAACTTTCATCCCGGCAATCGGGCTAGCCCGCTTGTGAGTTTATATGGAGAAATTTCCATCCTGGTAAGCAAGATTTCGCCTCTTTCCGCGAGATCTTTGCAACCGGACCAGCCATATAAACACACAATGATTTTTACTATAAAAATGACTACACAGCGAGATCTCGCTAACCGGGCTGTCTTGCTAAGCGGGCCAGCCTGGCTTCCACATAAACAGGACTTTAGTACCCTAAACCTATTCGACTGTGAATTTTCTTCAATTTCAGGCCATTTAAAACCTGGGGGTCTGGTATCGGCATGGCAAAGAATAAAAAAAATAATATTTGAAATTTATAATAACCATATACATGTATGCACAACTGAGTGGCTGGAACTATCTAGGCTATATCTTTGCAATGCAAGTACTTTGTCGCCAAAGATCCATCCAAGTATTATTAAGATGAACTTTTTGACATCCATTACATTACAATACATCCATATTATTCTGTTTAATCAGTTAGAATTGTAAAACTATATAACATTATAAACAGGAAAGAAATTGTGAGCAGAATATATACCCTGAAATGTAGTCGTACAGACGATTAAATATATATGAACATAGAGGATATATGGGGATATATAAAAATATATGGGGATATATAAAAATAAAACAGACCAATTAAACATATTATTAATATTGGATTAAGCACACTGTTAAACTCTAGATTATCCCCTTGATAAACTGCTACACAAACTACGGCATTTAGTACACTTTGTCTCGCATACAAAGCTAAGGCCGATTTTAGGACACTTTGACTCCTTGTATTTAATACTATTACGATGTTAATAAACTCGTTAAATACTCCTTAGTATATCGAATACTAAAAAGTTCAACAATGAAACCATCCTTACCTGAATTATTCTACATATTGTAGATCGTTTGCATAATTGCATCCATATTAAAAAGCTTGTAAAATCTTGAGACGAATTGAAAACATCGGTCCGCAATACAAAACTATATATTTATTTCTGCACGCCCCCCTGATTTAAAAAATGTCCCTGAAGCTTAATTATTTCCACTGGGAAAATGGACAGACAGACACAAGTCGAGATCTCGACAATACATAGATCGCGCGAAAGACTGGGTCGAGTGGACTCTGGAGCAACGTGAGGACGTCAAGAATAGTGTGCTGCCTCGCTGGCGCTTGGCAGCAACAATGGCGACAGCGAAGCAATCGCACGACTTCCTTCACGATTTGAAGTTTGAGACTGGTTTTCTGTTGAAATTCGTCCTAATTTGCCTGTTCCGATTTTAGTTGAAAATGAGCACTTGCAAATTTGGCAATTACTGACTGCGTTGCTTGCTTTTTTGGAGTTAAAACGCAGCCATTTACACATTGTTCTGTTCTGAATAAGCAGAGAAAACTCCGCAGCATTTTAATGCGAGTTTGTTGTTAATATTTGCATGGGTTGCTCTCATTGATTCATTTTTGACAATTGACGTGCGAATGGGGCGTGTTATGAAATTAAAGGGGCGTTTTACAAAATACCGGGCCTTGCTTGCAGGCCCACTATTCTTCCCTTGGGCCTGCACGCGGGCTAATTGACTTCATATAAATACAAATGACCGTTTTCACAATTGTAATAATATTTTCTTGGCACTTGATGTTCATTGTTTACTTTTCTTTATATGTTTGAAAGCACTAAATTTTTGATGCACAAATGTATTGCGGGTTAATATGATATCTAATTGAACAAATGAAATGCAAGAACGAGTTGAAAATAACGGCAATTTCTGAGCGTGATGTGATTTGTTTACATTAGCCAGAAAGTCAGAACTTTGTTGGCCTTTGAACTCAGCCAATCAGAATATACTGAGTTTAATTATGACCAATCAGGATCAATTAACTACCCAGATCTGGGTAGCGCAGCTGGGGGTCGACAAGTAATGCTACAATAGTATTGCTTCGCCATAAAAATAATATATGAAATCTGATCCTGCTGAGATTATCGGTGGAGCTCACTGCCCACCGGGTCCAGAATCCCGCTGCTGTACTACAAATATCCTTTAAGAGACACTAGATTTTAAAATTTTCTGGGGAAAATTCCCCACGGAGCCAAACCAAAGTCTTATTCTGCCACCTATGCAAATTAATCACAATTTACAACTTTTCACGTTAGAAATCTAATTCAGATAAAATCCTTTGATACCCCCCCCCCTCCGCATTCTGATATGCATTCTTTTACCGCCAGCACCGGAAACATTAGCTAATCTAAGGGACCGTTCATTATTTATACCCTGGGTTGGTACCGAAGAGATATGGGTTGGGTAATCAAGTTTTTGACTAGTTCATGGGTTGGGTAAAAAAAGTTATGGCTGT